GGCTGGTGAATGTATGGCAAGCCATGTTGCCGTATAATTGGATTTTTAACAGCGCATTTACCCTGGCCCTAATTCGGGTCAGGCCGGACTCCAGGTTAGAAATGACAGCTCTAATAAGAAGTACTTACATATGTCCAAAACGCGTTGTTAGAGGGAACGGGGGGACAGAGAAGCACCCTGGTCCCATACCAACAATTTCAGTCCCTGAAGAGGTGTGTTCATCCATCCAATAAGCTTTACAAGCTTTTTCTTTCAGTGTCAGAAACTAACAAGAGTACTGAACATTTTTTCAACCCACCTGTGCTAATTTGTGTCTTTAGGCACTTAATTCAGTCAATGTTTGAACACAATGACTATGAGGCTAAGTGGCAGGATAATACTTTTAAAAACACTAGGAAATGATTTCTTTATTTTGTTGCACAAATATTTTGAACATGATCAAAATTCAACTGACAAAATTAGTAGCCACTGTGACTCCATCAATCCATCTATCAAATTTTTTTTAATCTGCATTTTTCTGGGTCGCAAGGGAGCGTGTGCCCATCTCCAGCGGTCATAGTGCAAGAGGCATGGTACACTCTGCACATGCCACAAGTCCATCACAGGACCACATGGAGACGGAGACAAACATTTCACACTCTCACCCACCTAGGAACAATTTTAGTTTTTAGTCTGGAATGAATCCAAAGTACCCAAAGAAAACTCACTCATGCATGGGAGAACATGCCACATGCACACAGAAAGGCTCGGAAATAACCTGTGGCCTTCTTGCTGTGAAGTGACAGCAGTAACCACTGCACCATTGTTCTGCTGCCACTGTGACGTGTTCAGGTGCAAATGCCCAGAGAGACACTACTTTTTGTATGTCAGCTGTTACCACCTGTGAAGGTCTAGCTGATTGTCCAAGGCCAAAGACAGGAATGTTATTGACAGGAAGAATATAAAAACATGATATCTGGAGTATGCAGGACTACATTTTCTTATCCTCAAACAGTCCTTTGTGGTATTTTTATTGCATACATTAATGCTACGATAACAAATTATCAATATACTGTGAAACCTTAATGCAGACACAAACATAGACCAGTCTGGGAAAAAAGACAAATTTTTGGTTATGTTATTAATAATAGATAAGCCATTCAGTAACTACCTTTATAAAAATCACTGAAGCTCACTTGGTCATGCCGATGATGATGTTTGAATAGAAAACTACTAGTAATCATGGAAGCAGGCTGTGATTAGAGTAAATTATAACGCCTGCAGGGCTTCACAAGTGATCTAAAGCTAAGCCACTCCCAATTTTCTCACATTATTTGAGAAGCTGATAGAGGCTACCTTTTCCCTTCCTCTTCTCATAAGATGCCAATCCAGACGTGTGTTAGGTTTGTGTTGCTTGTCTTGGAGCTAAATTGATGGTGCAAAGAGAGGCTGCAGTGGCATTGCTAGTCATCACAGGCTTTGTGGCCTGAAACTATACAGGCAGCTATGCATTAAATTGCTAATTCGACTGGCAGAGCTACATTATCTCCCCCATCAAAGTGACAAGGGCAGGAATGAAGCGCTCAGTTTAGCTGTCTATGAGATCAATGGAAAATGGGTTTTGTGGATTTGCCATGGCAGGGTGCAGAGTTGTCTTTGAGAATGCTTTCTTTGAATTTGCTTGGTCTTTGCCTCACTGATTTGACAGCTGCAGAACAATGAGGCTGAAGTGCCTGACCAGTTCCATCTACATTCAGAGCGTCTCTGTGGAAGAACGCTCACACCTGGCTGACTGTATTTTCCATACATATCACTGTAGATTTTTCCCTGGATGCTTCAGAATTTTAAAAAGCAAGCATACATTTTGTGGTTTTGCTGCAAAGTTGCCAAAGCAGACTTGAATATTATGCCATCCGACTTGTCAGAAACAATCCATTTTATGCTGCAAGTCATTTCTTACTTTCCCTTTTCCCCCCACTCCTGTTGTATAGAAGCTGGTTGTGACCTTCGTGGATGATGATAACTGGGCTTTTAAGATCTTGGACAGAAAGTACTGTATTTTCCGCCATAAATGTCGTACCGCATAAGTCGCATCATCATACCTACCATTCTATGTTCGTGTCTCCTTCCTGTCCTCTCAAACCAGCCGGTCAAAGCAGATGGCCGCTTGTCCTGAGCCTGGTTCTGCTGGAGCTTTATTCCTTTCAAAAGGGAGTTTTTACTTTCCACTTCACTGCTGTATGAATGGGTAAATGGGTAAACGAGGACACAGATTGTAGTGTAAAGCGCTTTGAGTATCTCGATAAGATAGAAAGGCGCTATATAAGTACAGTCCATTTACCATTTACTGTTGCTACTGTGCTTGCTCAGGATGGGAGACTGCAATGAAGCCAAGATTCAACTTGTCTGCTGGATTCCTTAGAGAACTTACTTACTATGGCAAGCCGATTGCGTCATTAATAGCCACGTTTACCTATTACACGATAACGGCATGCCATACTGCTCAACTGCCATCTAATCGGCTGAAAATGGTAGTGTTCATTATTTTCAGTCAGAATGAAAACGGTCATATCTCAGCCAATAATTGGTTTATAAATATGGGGGGAAAAAATCCATAAATAAGTCGCTTTTGCGTATAAATCGCAGGGCATGCAAATTATGCAAAAAAAATGAAACTTGTACAACAAAAAATACAGTACATCAGATCATAATACATTTTTTATAGACCTTGATGTTGTATATGTTGAAACTTTTATTGAATGTTTTTAACCTTTAATGTATTTTAACTGCTTACTTGGTCAGTTTCTACAAGTGTCCAGGGACTGAGTGGTTCCTCTCTTGAAAGGCTCAGGAACTTCCGGAGTATCCAGTATTTGGGTATCCCCATGAAAATCTTCACTGGGACTGCATATTTGGATGAGGGATTGCCATGTACAGTGGTACATGTATTGAACCCATAATTGCTTTTTTAAGATAACAAATTAATTTACTTTTTGAGAAAGACAATTGATATTATTCTGAATGACCATGACTTCTTTATTTTACACAATTCCTGTTGTTTTATTTTCTACTATTAGCATAAAGTGTTGCATTTTGATATTAAAATGGGGAAATGGAACTTGCAATTAGCTGAGGTCATAAATGCAATTGTGCATGATACTTGGTCACATATCTCTACATAAGTGGTGTGGAGCTTTTTGATATACATGCAACAATGTGATGCATAGGACTTTATTAGAATTTTTTTTTTTTTAGCAAAATAAATCACGCAATCTACTCAATGTCTGCGTTTTCTTTTTTTGAGGGACACATTTTGGTTGGAGAAATTGTTCGTCCTTGTCCGTTCTGTGCCCAGACTCAGACCTCAGGTTGTTGAAAAATGTGATTGCCTGAGGAGCCCAAAGCAGAAGCACTCTTCAGCTTCTTAATAGCTTTTTCAAGATCACTTTAAGAGGCACTAGTCTTTTTTTGTTGTTGTTGTTGTTCCTCAAGGTATAAAAATAAAATCTACAGAAAACTTTTGATCACTTTGCTTTTGCAATGTCCTTTGGTTAATGGAATTTTTACAAAGAAAATTTAAAATTTACCCAAATTTAAAGTCTGTAAGTTCAACATTAGAATATTTAAAGGGTCTTCAAGATTTATTTTATAACATCTAAAGTTTGTACTTAATTTAAATTTTAAAGTTTAACAGATTTACTTGAATGTTACATGGCGCTGACAGGAAACAACTCTCCAGATATACAGGTGTATATACTGTATTCTATGTGGCCTATATATTTTTTTATAAACTTTTGATATGCCAACTCAGTTTAGTCTTGATTTTTTTTTGTTTATCCTGCAAAGGTATGACAGAAATTGAGAGAAAGCAAAAATATTTTAAAGACTCGCTCATTGCACCAGGTTACAGGTCCTCTTCGCTCTCTGACACTGAAAATTTGAATATGAAGTGCTCCAGGTTACTGCTGTGGTGTTTGTAATATTTGGCCTACTTGATAAAATATGAATCAAAGACTTTCTCTGGTGAATAACATCTTATTAGTCACAGATAAGGTTATCATGTTCTCTCTGGTATACATCTCCCAGGTAATTGCCCCTTAGCGAACTCCTCTGCATGCTTTCACGTCTCTGTACATGGATTATTTTTGTGTCAGGCATTTGAGCCTCAGATCATACCATAATGCATTCTACATTAATTAGCTGTGTGGCAAAGAAGCCGCCTCTGAGAATTTGTTCTCCTCAGCAACAGTTTCTTTCCTTCCCACGGTATCGGCTTTTTCTGGCTGCTGTTTGACATCGTTCCAGTTTCCTCAGTTTAACATAGTTACAGTTTGATTTGGAGCCTGTTGGATATGATTTATCATCATTTTGGGTCCAATTCCGCATTTCTTTTGCATCTGTGGGCTTGGACCCATAACAGGCAGGAGCATTTACATACAGTATATGTTTTTAGGATCGTCTTGGTCAAAACAATAGATTTTTGTTTAAACAGGTCCAATCATTGGCGTTATTTTATTTAATACTATATACCCAATATGATTACCATTTTTCTTTCCTTTAAAATATGTAACCTGAGGATCATGGGGAAAAATTGCTTGCACACAACTTCTCTTTAGTCTCGTATCATAACTGTTTGCAGTTGTAGTTTAGGTTTTTGTTTAGTTTTTCTCCTTTCCAACACCAGATCTGTTTTGTTTCTGTCACCAGTGGTTGGAATTAAAGTGATCTCTACACTAAGCAGGCTTTGTTTTTAAGGAATGTCGCAGTACAAGTGAAAGACTTTGATGTGGTTGCTTTTTTTAAAATAACTGAAAACTGACCTTAAAGGTTGTTAGCAATGCCACAAAAACTCAGACCGTCATTGGGGACCTTTGTTTTCTCTTCCAAAAATTCAAGGCCTCTGCAGCACCAAAAAAAACAATACTTAGTGCATTCCAAAAATTTGATGTTTTTTTATTTTTTACATTGCATGTGGATTTCATAATGCCTTGTTCTCAGCCATCCATTTTCTTTTGTTTTAGGTTCAACTACAGATCAACACACCATCTCGCCACGAATGGCTTCTACGAGTTCCTCAACTGGTTTGATGAAAGGGCCTGGTACCCGTTGGGCAGGATCGTTGGTGGAACGGTAAGTTTCTCCTTAAAACAAACCAATCCAACTGCTCACGTTTGTTACACTGAACTCTATTTTTTTTACATTCAGAGTAGCATTAGGGAAGTACAAGTAAAAGAGGACATTATCATACATTATAAATAGGTGTCTGTGTGAGCAGATGAACACAGCAACATGAAACAGATCAGCAGCAATATAAAACAGATCAGCAGCAACATGTGATTTTTCACAGCAATTATTCTGGTTAGAGATTCATGAGTCTAACAGCCTCAGGGTAGAAGCTGTTCCTCAGTCTAGTGGTTCTACACTCAATGCTCCTTAACCTCCTTCCTGAAAGGAGCAGGGCAAAAAGTGTGTGTGCTGGGTGAGTGGGGTTTTTCATGATGCAGGTGGCTCTCTTCCTGCATCTGGAGGTGTAGATGTCTGTGATGGTGGGGAGGCTGACTCCAACAGACTTCTGTGCAGCCTTCACCACTCTCTGCAAAGCTTTTCTTTCTGCAGCTGTGCAGCCTCCATGCCACACGTTGATGCTGGAGCACAGGACGCTCTCCACTGCACACCTGTAGAAGGAGGTGAGGACTGAGCTTCCCAGACCAGCTCGCCTCAGCCGCCTGAGGAAGTAGAGTCTCTGATGAGCTTTCTTGATCAGGCTGGTGGTGTTGTTGCTCCAGCTGAGGTTGTCATTCATGTGTACACCCAAGTACTTGTAGCTGGAGACCACTTCCACCGCAGATCCTCTTATGTTCAGGGGGGTGTATATGTTTTTGTTCCTTCTGAAGTCCTCGATCATCTCCTTTATCTTCTTCACATTGATGTGAAGGTTATTCTCTTTGCACCAGCTCTCCAGGTGTTCCACCTCTTGCCTGTAGCTGGACTCATCATTGCTTGTGATGCATCCCACCACCGCTTTATCATCTGCAAACTTTACAATATGACAGCCTGGATGCACAATCATATGTGAGCAGAGTAAACAGGAGAGGGCTCAACACACAGCCCTGAGGGGAGCCAGTGCTGAGGGTTATGGTGGAGGAGGAGAAGTTGTGGATCCTCACTAACTGTGGTCTGTTTGTTAAGAAGTCTAGTACCCAGTTGCAAATGGAGGGGCTTAGTCCTAGTGTGAATAGTTTGTCCATCAGGGACATTACCTGAGTCTTCCTTTTCGGGTAGCGGGAGTCACTGGTGCCCATGTCCAGCCATCACTGTGAGAGAGGAGGGGGGACACCCTGGACAGGTTGCAAGTCCATCACAGGGACACATAGAGACAAACAAGACAAACAATCAATTCACTTTCTCACTCACACCTAGGGACAATTTACAGTTACCAATCAGCCTAACATGCTTTACCATGGAAAAACTTTGCAGTGCTTCTCTGGGTGCAAGCAATGCTGTTCATGAGCCCAGTAAACTGTTTCCAGGCATCATTCATTCAACCTTTATTTAGACAGGTTAATCCCTTTGAGCCTCGAGGACTCATTTATAAGAGAGACCTGATTACCTGATCATAGATGTATATTCAGAATCCAATAGCTCTGAACCTTTAACTGTTTGACACAGAGCCCTGTTTCCCACACCTTATCCACTAGTTGGATGCTTTACATCTCTGGATGCCTTCTAACATCAGCCCTGCAACCTCTGAGGCCCATCTGCATTAAATATGTTTGGTCTATTTATGGTTTTCTCTGCATATAAACCACACCTGCTTTCTTTTCTCACAAACACAATTCATAGACTCTTGGTGGTTAACTCTGTGCCGTCATTATGCTACTCATGCAACAAGGCTTTATAATCCAGGTTGTCTGCACCAGATAAATAAAAATGTCTCCCACTGTGTTTGCAGCAGAGTCCAGTTAAGATGCTGAACTGTCAAACTTGTAATCGGACTCTTCTGACTGATTTCCTGTTGTCTGTAGTTTAAACTGAACCGTTCCATCTCATAGATTTTCTTTCACACGGAGGGAGATGCAGCGGGACATATAATACTGTGCTGAGTTGGTATTTTCCAACAAGTAGATGATGTAAGGCAGGAGCTGTAGCTATACCGACGTTTGCCTAAAGATTTGAACACTGCCTAAAGAAAAAGAGCCTAAAGAATTAAAATCCAAAACCCATTTATCAGTGTTCATTACTCATAATCATTTATAATCAGTTACAGAAGTAATTGCAAATGCAAAGTCTAGCTAATTAAGGGTTTACTGATTCTGTTATAGTACATGGATACGTGGTTTAAGCTTTGTTCCCACAAGGCAGAAGCTGAGACTCATGATTAGGCAGGTAATCGGAGTTGGAAGATGCTTAGTCTTAAGTTAATTTTCATGACATTTGAAAAACTCCTGGGCCACACAGTTGGATTGTTTTCTGCATACAAATAAGCAGTGCCGTTATTCGCTCTGCACACATGTATGAACATTTCTCTAATTTATATGTGTGGAGCAAAAACACTGCAGACTACTGGTAATTCACGCATTAATCATTTGAGGCAGATTACAGTGAGCCATGCTGATCTTTGCACAGTTCAGCTTTAAAAGTAATTTAATTTTCCTCTTGAACATTACTTGAAATATGTAAATGTTCTCAGCAGACTACCCTCAAGTTAAGTCAATATGCAAGCAGAGAATGTGCAAGAGCATACGTTTTGTTCAAAGCTGAGATGTGACGCTTGTTCTACATAAAGATAAAAATAAAACTGTCCTACCATAAGCTCTAATATCAAAATTCATGCTCAATAATCCAGATTAAAACTCCACCAAATTTAAGTCAGGTCATCTGGACAGTTTTTTTTTTTTTTTAGACTAGGAATGCACAATATTGGATTTTGGGTCGATATCTGATTTGCCGATATGTTAAAACTTATTTGGCTGATAACCGATGCTGATATTTTTTTATATAATTTCTTTTGTCAGAACATAGCCCTCTTATTTTGGCTTATTCGCTACAAAAATTCTGTAACCGCTGTAAGAGCTGGTGACATATATTCAGGAACAGCTATATGATATGTATAGCACTTTAACTTATATTAAATAAAGTGTTAAATGTTATTTATTATCATTAGTCACTTGTGATGCTGTCTCACTTGTGGAGGCTTGTTCCAGGTTCCTAGCTGCAGTGTGGGATCCTCTGCACTCCTGTGCATGAAGGACAGACTTTTTAAGTTCAAAGTTTTGTCAATCCATTGTGCCGTAAGGCTAATCATGCTAATGGGGCTAACACTTGATGTCTGTAGTAAAACTCACCCAAGTGCTATCGACTATTAGCTTCTCAATGACGTCGGAAATTACGGCTTGTAACTCGGGTAAGGCTACGTCGGAAAAATATCTCCGACTGGGGACGATGTAGCGAGGCTTAACGTAGTCCAAAAATCTTCAGAATCTGATATGCTAAACAAGAATAAAAACGGACACACCGCCGACATTTTGACTTTTTCTCTGTCGTGATCAGATCAAGTAGGCACGTGTGACGTCATCACGTTGTGCTGGCGCTGCATTCATCCTTGTCACTGGGTTGTCATACAAAAACAGCGTCTTTTATATCTGTTGTTTTGATGGAGTGGCCACTGTCCAATATTTAACTTTAAAGCTAATATCAGCCGATACCGATACCACCCCGATAATATCATGCATCCTTAGTTGAGACGTTACATCCTTCATCCAAAGGACTTAATCAGTCTGAGGAGCCACAACAAACTCAGCCTCATCAGTGGCATACTCACATAGTGGGCCAAACAGTTTTATGGTGATAAGATGGTTTCTGGAGTCCGCTCTCTGTTGACACCTCTGAGGCAGCCTTAGCCATAGTAGTTCAAAACATCAAAGTTAACGAAACATTTCAACAAAAAAAAGAAACTGTCCAGAGGACCTGACTTAACTTTTGATTTTTTTTTTACCCGGATTACTGAGCATGAACTGTGATGTTCTGAACCACTTTGGCTATGGCTGCCTCAGAGGTGTCAACAGAGAGCGGACTCCAGAAACCATCTTCTCACCATAAAACTGGTTGGCCCACTATGTGAGTAAGCCACTTATGAGGCTGAGTTTGTTGTGGCTCCTCGGACTGATGAAGTCCTTTGGACGAAGGATGAAAGGTTCAAACAAAAAAAAAAAAAAAGAAACCGTCCAGAGGACCTGTCTTAACATTGATGCATAAGCGCTAATGTTTCTGTCCCAGTCAAACTGAATCATATTGTTAAATTAACATTTTACAAAATAGTTTCTCTATCTTGGACTTAAAGTCTTGCATTGGGTCTAATTTGTGGCATTAAACTTGACTAAATCATAGTTTAATTTTTTTGTTTGTCAAACATCTCTACTGATGTGTCTGTTCTGGCCATAAAAATAGGATTTTAATTAAATCTGTTTTCTGCTATCTGTGCGTTAACGCGCACAAAATCAACTTCATATTTATTAACAGATGAAACTACACTTTCCAGTTGGAATTTATTCACTTATTACAAAATTCAGTTCCAAGATATAATCGGTTGCGAGTGTGGTTGTCTTAAAAAGTAAGAATAAAATAGTCTGAATATTAAAAAGACTGCTGCAACTCCCCGTTGACTTGGCAGAAGTGCGATGGCAGATGGCCAGTGGCGTTTTGCCTCATAAAGCCGAGACGTTTTTAAAGCAGGTGGGAGGGTCATTCTCTTGGTCGTACTAAATGCAAATTCCTTCCTACAACATGCAAATCTATGCAAAATGCATCTGAGCCACGGTGAAGTTGGGTTAGAACTATAGCGGGTTAAAAAGATCATCTTTTCCCTGAATGATTTAAAATCTTATTAAGTTTTAGTTGTCTCTCTTTGTGCAAGTCTTTTCTTCAGTTGGTCTCCAGTATGCTTAAAATTTATTAACGTTAAAATAAAACATCGTTCACAGGTTAAAAAAAAAACCTGTTCCTCACCAGTCATACAGACTTTCACTTCCTGAACTGCACAAATATATAGATTTGTTTTTGTTAACCTGCCCCGTGAAATAGTCTGCTTTTAGCGCCAGTTGTGTCAAAACCAGTCCGTCTTCCACTTAACGATATCTCTTAGGTTTAAAGTCAGTTTTTACAAAAGATATGAGCTAACAAGTCAATAAGATGAGCCAGTGAATCTTCACACTTGATGAGCAAAAGCTGGAGAGTGATTAAAAACAACTCATGATAGAATATACATCAGTCACAATAGTGTGGCCTTGATCAGGAGTTCATGTTGACAGTTCCTGGAGTTACAGAAAGCTGCTCACTCGTTACTGCGTAGGTTAATTGTGAAAGTCTAACGTGTTTGCTCCACTGAGCTTGATGCTTTGTGAACACAGGCCGGCATCGCAGAGACATTCCCTACCCACTCTGCTTTTAAAGTCATAAAATGATTGTGTGAGAGCTCCTATTTGCATTGGGTCACTGCTTTTAAAGCATAGATGAATGTGGAAAAATACGGTATTCTACCCATATTGCGATTGATGACCTCTTTTAAGAAAACTTTTGGATAAAGTTACTGTCGAACAGCATTTATTTATTGACTATGGATGCTTTTCTTTTGTCCAAACCTTATCCTTACTTTACCCCGACTTTTTAATTCAAAGTCAGACGGATGATCTTGACAGTGCTCATTAATTGTGTATGAAAACGTTGAGTCTCTAAGCACTCAGATAGCTTGCACCGTTTGGAAGATGGATGATTTGATATCAGTTAATGTGACAGTTGAGCGCCTCTTTCCTACGACCAGTCCAGTTGGCCTCTCCGTTTTATTCCCTTTCCTCTTTCACCCTCTCCCCAGAGGACGGCTGTCAGTTGTTCTTTCTTTCTGAGCTGCAAATACAAAAAGAAAGCCTCTTTAATGTGTCAGTCCACAACAACAGTGGGTTGTCAAGTCGATAACCCACCCTTTGTCTCCGCCAGACAATTAAAGTTTGTATTCGGTAACGACTTTTGTCAGTTTTTAATGTTTTTGTAATGAGAAAGCTATAATTCCTTCCTATCAATTTAGAAAAGGGTTTAAATTATGCACCAGCTTTCCCCCCCCCCCCAAGTCAAACCTCATCAGAAAAATGTAACGGTCTTGATTATACCTGTAAGACTCTGCATACCTGAGTCCTAATACAGAGTTCAAAACGTCTAATAATTACAAGATTAACGCTGGGATTCCGCTCCATTAGACAGAATCAAATCCTCGAGCCAAGAGGCACGGCTTGGTTCATTTTCATTGAAGTACTTTAGATCGCTTTAGGTCTTGTAGGCACCGGCTAATTATAAAGATGAAGACCTGAGTTTATTAGCAGTAGTTTTATAGACTGAGGCTACAGTGAGCGCACTTTAAGCATCACTTTCTTGTTGTACATAACCTTCAGACAGCTGCAGCACACAGCGCCAGCCTCTAATTGGATCTCCTCGTAGTAAGATGAGATGAGGGGTGCGAGGCCTCACCTACACAGGCCACAGTTTGATTCAGCGGAGCGCGTTGGTAATTATACATTCTGCTGGGGAACACCAATCTGTTTTCATTTTGTGATTAAAACATTATTTGTCCAGGTTATCCTTGTGCTGCAGGGGAGGTCTTGACCAAAGAGATTCCACAAAGATGAGAAATGGGCTCTTTTAAAATTCAAATTGTTTCTGTAATTGCTTGTTCAACCTTTATCAGTGCCCCGGATAGAATTTAGTTTGAACCGCTTTAATTTTTCATTTACATCTCAAGAGCTGAAGCTCTTGACGTGCTTTGTCCATGTTCAAACAGTAATACGCTAATGATTCTTTGTCTGTGGAAGTAAATCCACCTCTTATTTTGTAGTTTTTCATTGCTTGTTACGGTGGCCCAGAGGTGTAAATGAACAACATTTGAAAAAACTGAATTACGTTTGAAAAAAACGGAATCACAATTGAAAAGACAGAATCAGAGATTTGAAAAAACGGAATTACGTTAGAAAGAACTGAATCATTCAGAAATTGTGTATATTCTGTTTTTTCAATTGTTGTGTTTTTGTTTTTTCAAATGTATTTCTGTTTATTTTATTTTATTTTTTCAAATGTTTTTGTGTTTTTGTTGTTTTTTCAAATGTATTTCCATTTTTTTTTTTTTTTTTTCAAATGTTGCTCATTTACACCTCAGGACCACCGTAGCTTGTAGTTGTGAAAACATTTATAGCTGAAAATTAACAGTCTGACAGGGAAAGTTTTGGGTCGTAGTGTCCCCAGCAGCCAGCTGTGCTGCACACTGTGCGACTACAGTTATATGAGCTCCCTACCAAGCCTGAAATTCTTTAGTGACTCAGTTAAGCCTCAAAGTTTTGTTGAATTTGTATTTTTTTTCTGAACACATCCAGCTCAGCTAGTTTATTTTGTACATCTCCCAATTGGTAAGTGCGTGGGAAATGACCATATTAGATGTGTTAATTTGCCACCCTCAGTCTTAAGAGAATTGGAAAAACCCACATGTGCAATATTTTCTGCAACTCGAGACACTGAATTATGTTGCAAATAGGTTTCTCTTTTTGTCCATAAATGCGTGAAAGCAAAAAGCTTTGCCCACTCCGGAAAACGTGACTGGATTTAGTTGTATTTTTACCTATTAATGCGTCTTGTGATGCAAATGTTACATTTAAAATTTCCAATAACTTTTTGATCCCTACCAGTTGTATATTTCTTTTTGCAAAATCCCTGTCATAGCAGTGACATAAATCGCCTCACCCGTTTGTTTAAATTGTGTTCTGTCATCCAGATGTTCAGGATATTTATGGTTTGATTCAGGAACATGACTGCCGTGCAATATTTACCATTCACAAGGGATTTGGCAGCATATGACGGGATTTATAGTCCACCATGCAGCGTGATGTCACAGCACATGCTGGGTTTTCTCCATCTTCCACTGGTGGGCAAAAGATTGGAGAGCCTGAGTAGTATGCAAAATTTTACAACATTTCAAATGCACACAATCTAAACTGAGTTTTTGTGCTCCAGAATGTATGAAAAGGTTAGAAAAAGAGTAAAAATTAAACTGACAGAGGGCTATTTGGCAGAGGGACGTCGGCTACTTTGAGCTTTTTCAATTGACGTAATAAAAACCTCCAGATTCCTTTTTGCTGAATTTGTTAGTTTTCAACCAAGAGCCTAGCTGATAGTAACTGAATGAAAAATATGTTCATTTCCCTCCCAAAGTGGTTTCATCGTTATAACCACTGCCTGTTTCCTGTCAGACCTGCGTTCGGGAGAAAAAGCTGCAGAAAACAGTCTTGATGATGGCATACTGATAATGTACAATTTTAGTAGAACTGCTATCTTGATTACCTTAAAATATATCTGATTGGCTATTCAGACATTAAGGCAACACATTCAGTTGCAATCAGTCACAGTTAATTAAATTTCACCATTTACTCAATTCAAAAATATGCCACTTACATTTAACCGTTTATGGGCCCAACACAACACCAGTAAAAAAAATAAATTATAACACTGCTAAAATAAAAACGGCAAACTTCTAACCACATGCACTAAAACACCTAATTAAAGAACTAGAGCCCGACCAATATGGAAATTTTGGCAGTCGCTGATACCGATATTGGGCGGGCTAATGCTGATAACCGGTAAATTGTCTGGAAATTATTTAGCTTTGTCCACCCCAAGAATCTAAGTAAACATCTACTTTATGCTTTCCTTGTACGCTCTTGTGCAACACCTTTCTGAGTTTAGTTACCTGTGCCACAACACTCGAATATGGAACCCCTGAATAAAATCGTGCACCACCATCTGAAGGTGGCACTGCTCTAACTAGCTTATCTACTTAAGAAAAGGTTCAGAAAATGAGCCCAGTTAGAATTTTGTTGCATTTAAAATGACTAATTTAAATTCAATTTGCAGTTTAATAGAAATTACAAAATGGGTGTGCGTCCAATCAACCAGATTTCATCAACATGCTATTAAAACTCTTAAAAAAAAAAAAAAAAAAAAATCAGGACTAACTCAAGGTTTTGTATCATGGCTCACCAGAGAAATTGATTTTCCAGTGAATAAAACGAGCCTCTTTGGAAAAATACAAAAGTATACAATGCATTAAAACATAATTACATCAGTAATTGAAGTATACCAGTAGTTAGCCACAGTCTGATCAGACTTACCACCGTAAGCAGACTGGCCCAACACTGAAACACAGAAGTGGGAGTGGAAGGATTTTTGTGGCTGCCTCAGTGTAAAAAGTGGCACGGAGATTATATTATAGATGCTAACTTAGAGTTATCTATTGATAACTTTTGGATTTCAGAAGAACATTAAGGCTCTGTAATGAAGTGCTCACGTTCAAAATCACAAAGAACATCTGGAATAAAGGAAGACAAAGTACAAGAGGACTTCTTGGCATTGCTGTTTGTGTCTCACCCCCCTCTGTTTCTCTGTCCTCAGGTGTATCCGGGGTTAATGGTGACTGCAGGCCTTATCCACTACATGCTCAACCTTCTTCACATCACAGTCCACATCCGAGACGTGTGCGTGTTTCTGGCGCCGGTGTTCAGTGGACTGACTGCCATCTCCACCTTCCTGCTGACGCGGGAGCTGTGGAACCAGGGTGCAGGGCTGCTGGCAGCCTGTTTCATCGCCATCGTCCCGGGCTACATCTCGCGCTCTGTGGCCGGCTCCTTCGACAATGAGGGCATCGCCATTTTTGCACTTCAGTTCACCTACTACCTCTGGGTATGTATACTAGATTTTTTTCCTTGTAAGTGAAATATAAAATATATTTTACAGGTACTTGTAATGTGAATTGACATCCTCTTTTTCATCAAAGCAAAGTTTATTTGTCAGCCATATTCTGCTGCACCTACTAATCTTAAGAATTCTTGATTAGAAATGTTACTTTCTAAAGGACAGGGTTTCTGTAGCCAGGAAAGTAGCCCTGCTTTCAGATCTTGCTTGCTTCAGATGTTGAATAATTTATCCACAGGCTTGAAAAGGAAACTGGTCATCTTTACTGGCCATGTGGTTGACAGGATACAGCAAACTGTGCTTAAAAGCTTTCACAATAATGTGACCTTTAAGAGCAGAACTGAAGAGTTAAAGATGAAAAAAAGCCTTTCTTTTACTTCCCTTTTCTAAAATACATGTAGCGCACACAGCGGGCCGTGCTTTAAACACAAACACAAAGCAGTTCTTTATGTTCACTTTGCAGCTGGTTTTCTGTATTACTTTTTACACATTTTCTGTGATTAAAATGTTGTTTTCTCAGTTTTTTGGGGGAGGATCTTGACCAAATAGCAAGAATTTAATTTTGCCCAGCTGAAACATTGTTCAGGTATTCAGAGGGGCTCCATAGAAAATACTCCACTGCAGCTTTTTAAGATGAAAGACGCTTGAAACGGACTTCTGACTTTATTTTGTCTGCTTTTTTCATTGCATCAGCTTCTGCCTTGCAGCTGTTTTTAATGTGAGGACATCATACGCTTGGGTCTGTAAGATTGAAGAGCGATGCGTTGCACTTTTATCAGCATCAAATTTTCTCGGGTTATTGGAGTTGACCTTGACAAATCGTAAATATCTCCTCCTTTCACAGTGAGCCGTTTCTGTTTTAATATTACCTGCTTGATTATTCATTCAACCTTTATTTAGACAGGTTAATCCCATTGAGCCTCGTGGACTCATTTACAAGAAAGACCTGATTTTAACAAAGAATGATGACAACAGTAGACAACCATGAAAGGAAGCATATAAATTGAGAAGAACAAGTGAAAGATAATGGTATTTAAAAATGAAACAAAAACGTCTGGATTGTAAAGCGATGTAAAATACTAAAAACAGGAACCAGTCTGCGTTGGTTTTTACCATAAACTTAGCAGATGTTAGAAGCCACTTAGAGAGGTCAAGGTCGAGAGCTTCAGATATTTTTGCAAGATATTCTAGAAAACAGGAGTGCAGTAGGTTTAGGTGCTAGTTTTAGCTTTTGTTTTTCTCTAGCCTTGTGCTAGTTTTAGCTTATGTTCTTCTCTAGCCTTTTGCTAGTTTTAGCTTGTTGTGTTATTCTCTAGCCTTGCTAGTTTTAGCTTGTTGTTCTTCTCTAGCCTTTTGCTAGTTTTAGCTTGTTGTGTTCTTCTC